TACCATGGACATCCGCCCGATACAAACACCTGAAAATGTTCCCCGTCTTATTGATCTTATTAAGCCGAAAGATGACATACAGTAATTTTAATTACTCTTTTCAAAGTGAAAGCCTTAACCTATAAAAATCTTGTAAAATGATCTTATACATGACATATATATTTAAATTTCCTATTAGCATCATACAATAAATCAATAAAATCAATCTAAAAAAAAATAAATAAATTAATAAATTAAAAATAATATATAATGAAATATTTTAAAAGAACAAATGATACTTATTAAAAAAAGTAATAAATTGATATTTACTTAAATACAAGATAAAAAATCACCTGCAATAATAAGTTTTATAGCTAAGAAATGAAATGATAGTTTTCATATCATAAATATAATACAATTATTAACAAATTTATTTATAATATTTAACCCATTTTTTTATAATTATTTTTAAGTTTGTTTTTGTTCTCTATATTGTATAACTTTAGCATGAATTCAACATAAAATTTTGTATATATTTTTAATTACTAATATCAGATTATTATTTGCTTTTACAATAACTCTATAATTATCAGGCATTATTTTCTCAAATTTAAACTTTTTTTAATCCAATTTTATGTATTTTATTATAAATAGTATTAAGGATACAAACATTTATATAAGTTATAACTTTAATTATAATATTAATAAGATATAAAAAGGTTATAACATATATATTTAAAATTTTATATGCTATGCTATATCATATGACATATGTTATATCATATGTCGTATGCTATATTATATGTCATATGACGTATAATATGCTAAATGTCATATGGGAGTGTTTCTAGGAAAATCAGGTTCCGAGAAATTTTTGACTAAAATAAAGAGCTTAATACATTTTAATCTAATAACATCAAAAACTAAAATGCAATAAAAATCTCAATTTTGCTAAAAAATTCCCGGAACCTGATTTTCCTAGCAATCAACCCATATTATATTCTATATGTTATATCGTCATATTACTTATATGCTAATTTCATTTTTATTTCAAAATTTATTAAAAACAAATCCAAAAAAATTACATATAATAACCATTAAAAAATTAATTTAAATTTTTTTGAAGAAAAGAATTAACCAAATCTTCTGAATTATATTCTAAATCAGAGGGTAAAATTATATTATTTTGATCCTTTTCTTTGCTATATAATTCATTATCATTAATATCAAAAATTAGTAAAGTGAGATCAATAATATCTCTTAAAACTAAAGTATCACTAAAAGATATAATATTTGAATCATTAATAATAAAATCATTAACCAATTCTTTCTCATCAGATTCTAAAGTTATTACTATTCTTATAGATAAATAATTTGCTACTTCTTTTAATTCATTATTTGTTAGTTCCTTGTCATAATATAAAAGTTCAGATTTGATATTAGTTAAATAATATGATCTAATTTTGATTATATTTTCAAGTTTTTATACTACTAATCTAGTTTTTTGATCACTAATTAATCATTTAAGTATTAAAAAATTTCGCTCATAACTAGACTGTAAAGGAATTATTCTAAATAATTGAAGTGTAAGTTCAGCTAAATGATAAGAATTATGTTTAATAGAAGCTCGCTATAATTCAGAAGTATCTATATTTTCAATATAAGGTAGATCATAAAGTGCTAAATGAGCTTCAAATTAACGTAAGTGAGAAATTAATTCATAACTTTCTTGCTTATTATGATCAAGACTTTGCCATAATTTTGTTATAATTAAAGTAGCATCTCTGAATCTCTTATTGTGTAATCTACGACTTATTTAAATAAATTAATATTAATAATAAAATTTAAATATATAAAAAAAATATATAATTATATAAATCTCTATATTGTAGATATATAAAATAACAAAGTAAATATGCTGGATACTAAAATTCAATATAATGGATATTAAATACATATATAGCTGGAATTTGAATGGATTTAGATTAGATAACTGATATATTGCTATTGCTAACTTAATTATATAATAAAGTAATCAGCCAAGATTGTTGTATTTGATTTCAGTATATTAATACATTCTTTAATAGGAGCCCAAATTAAACGAATATATTAATATGTAGTAAAATTTTTCATTTTCTAACAAATTACGCACTTTTATATTAGAAATAATATCCTGATGCTCAAGAATTATCTAAATATTTGTAATGATTAATTAAAAATTTAATAATAATAATATTTATTTTATTAAATATATATATGCTTACCTAATCAAAAATAGAATGCGCTCGTAAAATAGAATCCATCGTCATAAATAATGATCTCAATCTAGTTTTTATCTATGTATGCAATCCTTCAGATTTAATCATCATTTGAGCTAAATCTTGATGTAATATAGAACAAGCCTGATGAGATTTATGAAAAATTTTGTAATTTTACCACAATCCACTATAAATTTTTGAATTTCACAAGATCTGCTGCTATTAAATTAATAGTATGTGCAGCACACCTAATATCCCAAATATGAGGATATATTTCCTCTGTTTTTTCTCATGCTATACGGTATGCTGATGCAGCATCAATAATGATAGCTGCAAATTTTTCTGAACTAACTTGTTCTATAATATCCAAAATTTCATTAGCAAGCATTAAACCAGTGTGAGATTCTGCTGAATAATTCCTTAAGGTAATCAAATATTCTTTTCATACAGGTGTTGATATAATATAATTATATAATGAATTATTTTTCTTTAATGTTCACCCATCTAATGTTAGTAAAATAGTATAACAGATATTATAATATATATTTATCAATTAAATATTAAAATTTATTAAATATAAAATAATTTGTTAATAAAAAAAATAAATAAAATTATATATAAAAATTATTTAACGCTAATAATAATATATACAATATAATTTTTAATAAAAAAATACAAATTTTTTAAAATTAAAACTCAGATATTTATTTAATGTTAGATGGTCTGAGAATTTTAATTCTTTTTCAATATTCAGAGAAACTCGAGTAACTTCTTAATCCAATAATTGTCCAGACAATATTGTTCTCAATGGAGGAGTGTATCTTGGATTAAGTTTTTGAAATAGATCATGAATAAAAGAGTTATCGATTACTTCAAAAGGAATTCCTGCCATTACCTTTGCTTTCAGTAATGATCGGTCAATTCGCTCAGTTATAGTTAGTGGTAAAGGTTTATCTGAGCCAAAGTGTTGATTTATTTGATATTGTTTTAATAGTAGTTGAATTATGGTTTTTTTTAGCTAGTTTCTTTAGAAATCTTTCTTCTTCCAGTGAACTTTTATTCACGAGAAATTTTTTAATCATGTACACCTGAAAATGCTTTTAAATGTGATCTGTGAATTTAAAAATTTGCGTGACTACTGTGCCATATTACTAATAAATATCTGTGTGATGATAGATTTCATATAAAAAAATTTTCCTAATTTTACACCAAAAAAATAAATTTATTTTTCTTATTTTTCACCCATATGTCTACTGCTTCTGCGACAACTGATTTGAAACTTAACGACGAAAAGAAAAGTAAGTACACACGACTGCATTAAATCTACACTATTTTTTTTGTTATTAACTTATGTCTACAGGAAGGAAGATGATTAAGATACCCAAGTTTTTGAAGTCCATCAGAAAGAGAGGTTCATGTTTATCATTGTAAAACATTCCAGTCATTAAATGACGATTTTATTCTCAATAAATATTTAATGATACAGCATCCAATCTGTCTGAAGCGTTAAAACCTATCACAACTGAAATATTAAATCCTACAATGACTGAAACATCCCATTCTGAGACAATTGAGTCTCTCTATAAGTATGAAACATTACCAGGGCAAACGCAAAAATTTCTGGGTAAGACTGAAACTTTTCTGAATAAATATTCGCTTTGAGACTCTTTCTAACTGTTGCTTTTGTAAATCGTGTGGGACAGAAATTCAGGTAGCCCACTTCGATGAATGATGCTGACAGAGGCATGGTCTTCTTTTTCTTAGCTGACGAGGAATCTGCCTTAGAATTTGACAATGAAATAGCATTCAACCTTATCTTCTTCTATGATAATATTGACAAAGGAATATTTAATGAACATAAAGACGAATGGGTATTAGTATATAAACAGCAATTGATAAAATATAGGCCAGAATATACGAGAAAGAAACTAAAGGTCCTCGAAGAAGAAATGCCTGGTGCAATATATTTGCCAGTTGATAAATCGCGTCGTGATGATCTTTTAAAGTCTCTGCTAGCAAGAACTGTATCTGCTCGACATGTTAATCAAGAACACATGGTCTGAATTCTGAAATACTGATTATTATTGCAAATCAGTGCCCATATCAGTACCAATCAGTGCTATATCAGTGCCAATCAGTGCAAAAAATAAATGTATCTAAATAAACTTATCTTGTTATTTGTTTACTTATAATAAAGATTAGGATTCAGGTTAGAAGGACAGGAACAACTAATTCTGTTATTCTCGAATATAATTTTAATGACCCTGTTGAAGGTAATAAATTGTATAAATCTGTTATTGATTCAGATGTGCCAGAAATGACCCTTCTTTATCATGTCTGTAGCACACTTGGAAAACAAGGATGGAGAAATCAAAGTATGATTGCTAACAGATATGGACACCCTAATCGTATTTTTTATGCATCAGATACATTTGAAGTTTCTATCGGAAACAATAATAGATGGAGTAAATGGGTGGGCATAGATACCCTTAGAGTTTGGCAAAGAAGACCTGATAATAAAATAGACAGTTCTCTTGTTGGAACTGATATTCTAGACCAATTTTTCTTTATACATTTGCCAAACAAAAGGTATAAATTTTTAGACAAAGCAGATAAGGTTGGATTAACCAATTTCGTAACTGCTCTTCCCTAAAATTCTCTAGCAAATTCAACATGCAAAAGAGTATAAATAATGTAACATTATTGTGTAAATTATGTAATAATGTATAATTAAGTATCAGCAAAGTTTGCTTTATAAGTAATGTTTACTGCATCAGATTATATGACATAACTGATATCGAACATAATTATTAATAAAGTTTCACTCATATTTCAGCATACATTTTTTTACATATGTATGAATGAGGAGTATGTGTAATAAATATATTATAATTTTTTGACCATCGTGCACAATTCGTTTCTGGTTCAAAAATAAATTTTATCCACATACATCTTATTTATACTTAACTGATCGGCATTCTGAGAATGTTATCAAACACTTGAACATTATACAGATAGAGTAAATTCGTTACTAAATGGCAGACATCGAAGAAATCATTGATTTATATGCGGAAATACCTACTTTCCATTCTGATTATAAGCCTATTATAGATAAAATGCCATCAAGTCTAGTCAAAAGAGCTTTTCATCAGCTACTTAATATAAAGCACAATCCTGTTTTACCAGAAGAAATTACAGAAAAAAGTGATTGAATTGAGCAATATTTGCGTCATAAATTAATTGTTTATGAACAAGCAAAAAGTCAAAGGGCTTTTTTTTATAATATAGATACCGGAATGCAAACAGATAATAATAGTTTTTCAGATAAAGCAGTACAAACTGATTCTTTGGATAAAGCAACCCAAACAGAAGGTATTGATTTCTTAGAGCAAATTAAAAAGGCTAATATATTGTTAACTGACGCGATAAGCATCTTATCTAATATTTAATTTCTATATCATTCTCAATTCTAGCATAATAAGTATATATATATTTTCTGGCTTTGAACTTGTGAAAAGCTAGGCGTACAAAATATCTGAGTATAATGTTCCATCCAGATTATAATTACATTACAGATAAGCTTCCAGTAAGTATAAAAGATAGGGTATATCAAAGGCTCCTAAATCATTTGCACAAACCTATTTCTCTAAATTAGATTTCAGAGAAAAATAAGCTAATAGAGAATTATTTGCACCATATATTAGAGATTTACCAGAAATCATTAGACTGAAGTCGTAAAGCTATAGATCAGAAAAAACCACGACCTCAAAGTTAACTGGAATGCCCAGCATCTAATATTAAACCCCAAACAGAAAACAAGTCAGATGATCATAGGATGGAAATTAATGATCAGATTAAATATGAACTTATTATTCTGCAAAAGCAACTGCTTAAATATAATAAAGAAACATTTAGTCGTTTTATGCAGAATCTAACTAGGGAATATGAGGAACGAATCAAGGAAAATAACCATCTGTACTATAAAATTAATGAGATGCAGGTGCAGGGGATAGAAAAAGCCCTTGCTAATATGAAGTCATCAGTATAAAATTAACTGATCATCCTATATAAATACATCATGTAAAGCACCTCTGGCTAATCCCCTGTTAATCATGAGAGATCTACAAACTGAAAGTAACGGGAGAGCGCTGGAGACTAATGAGGTGCTGAAAAGGAGTCAGGTGTACCATAATACAAAGATGAACATATTATGTATATTATTTCGAACTAATTTAACTGAATTTATGCTATCAGAAAATCCCTTACATGCATATAAATATGCACATAGCCAGATGTAAACTTTATATAAACCTCTGATAATATGCTTGTAATCGAATAAAAAAATGAATCTAATATTTTATTATCATATACTTACTACAAACTGCTATAACAAGAAATATTTGCAAAAAACGCTATATATCACTAAAATTACTATAAGTCTTATTTATTGTCTGCAATCACATATAATCATCAAATATGTCTAGACTAATGGTTAAAATCATTATAGATAGGATTTATAATAAAACTGTACCTAAACCTATCAATCTCCACCCTGGATATGATATGGAACATGTTTTTAACTGTCATTCTCAAACTGATAACTATCAATACGAAAAAGTGGTTAAAATAGAAAAGCATTATGATTATTTATCTATTGTTAGACCTCATGAAACACCTCAACAATGGGCTAATCATATAAGAGGTTCTTTGAAAGAATTACTTTCTAAGCAAGAATATAGTTTATATTATGTATACAGCCTTTTTGCTTCATTCGAACAAGTAGAATCCAAAATATACTGTGTTAATGATAAGTTATATAAAGACTACTTTAGATATCGTAGACCTAATGTTCATAAAAGTCAGATGGCTATTTGTTTTAAATGCTGAAAATTGGTGAAGATTACTGAAGTAGAGTTTAGAAAGGAATATTATAGTAGCTGGAGGCGATGGGCCTATGAAGTTGAGTCTGAAGATTTGATAAAAAAACAATGGAATTACTTTTGCTTCAAGGCTAAATTCACAACTATAGTAAAAAATACTATGACAAATGCTTCTGTTACCTCTGATAACCAAGAAATGATTTCACCTACCTCTAGTAAAATATTTATCTCATCTCTATATGCAAAACAGCCAAAAGGCACTGTGTTGAGATTGGAGAATGGAACAGAAATCACGGTAATTTAACTAACTGATTTTGACTATTACTTTCGACTGAATAATAGCATTATTTATCTTAACTATATTCATAAATTATTTTTTTGCAACTACATAATCTACATGTAATGAAATTACGGCTGAAACTGTAATTATTTCATGTATCACATGTAGACGCTATGTATGATCTGCCTATTCTGAATTAGATCTTTTAATCTATTTTAATAAAATATTTTTCGAGAAGTTCAGGAAGATTAATAAAGCGATCTTAGGGGTTCTTGATTCCTAAATACTACTATAATTATGGCTTTAAAAATTTCTATGCAACACTTATCCAACAAGCTTATAGGAATTACAAGAAAAGACCCGAATCTTTGGCAAAACGAGTTTAGGAGATGGTGAGAAATGATGGTACTTCTGACGATAAGGAATATTTAGGTATGAAAAATGAAGGATATAATCCTTCAGGATAAATTTGGTACGAGAAATATTATTCTTCAGCGAAAAATAGATAGATATTTGAAAAAAAAGCCCAATTATAGATACGATTAGATACAGTATCACACATACTTGTTGGAAAATTATTATATCAGCAAGGATATATATTTATTAGAGATGCATATTAGATCGACATGTTAAAATGGCCACAAAATCCTAAATATTATCGTATTAATAAAAAATATAACTTTGAATACTTCATCAAAATTTTGGATTGTAAGAGATATAGTGGTAAATTGACAGAAGTACAATATATATATAATTCACAGTCGTTAAAAAAATATGATATTCTAGAAAAGAATCTTACTGTAAATTTCTCAGATTTGGATGATAATAGTGAGTTCATGCATTGAATTTTCCAGATCAGTCCTTGATCTAGATCCTGAATATTATATTAATAAAATAATATACTGTTCAGCCATGCAAAGTGCCTTAAGGCCAATGTATGAAGGTATGTATGACATAAATAAAACGTGTTTCTGATCCTCGTTAAAGTATATATGTGATAGTCTGCAAATTATCTGTGAAATTATACTTGTGCGACAAAATAATTTCACACATAAACCGCTTCCCAAAATATTTTGAATTTTTTCCTTACAACATTTAGCGAAATAAGATTTAGCAGAATAATATTTACTGATATAAATATTTGCTCCAAAGGGACAGGCTCTCTGATATCACTGGATTCTGAAGAAAATATATTTATATAATGTTGCTTGGGTCTTAATATTAACTATTGAGTGGTCAGGTAAGTGAAAAAAATCTGTATATGCATTATCTTAACACCTTTTGTAAATGTTGAGATCTTTAATACATATTCTGCATATTTTTACTAATGAACGTAGAATTTTAGCGTAAAGTGCCTTGCATATTTCTCCTATCTCTTCCTCAACATGGATGTGAGTGTAAATGTGAGAAAATAATAGCATTTAAAAAGGTGTATAGGTAATTTTTAGCTTTTTGTCATTTATTTTGCTGTTAGCATTATCTCAGTATATTAATATTATTTTATATTCTAAACTAACTACGTAAATATGTCTACTGTAATGTATAATAAGTTTTATGAATTCTTGATGACTGCTGAGGAACATCAAATAAACGCTACGTCTGTTATTTATCTTAGAATAAAAGAAAACCGCTGGGTTTTCCAGATAGAGTTAAAATCAATTGTAAAACGAGCTGTGAGTTCTGTTAGCAATGCATTTATGGAAGGTTCTTCTCGTCAATTAAAAATTTTCCAAATTCTACCACAAGTTAGTTAAGATTTATACAAATATTTTAGCTTTTTATTATTATATGATGATACTGTGTGATCGTTTACTAAAGTAAACCTGAATAAACAAGTTGTTTTTTGGTTTGTTGCTTATGTTCGACCTACCCATTCAGCTCGCTTGCCAGTAAATACTTACACGTAATAGAAGAGTGTATATACTATAATCTGTTATGCAGTTTTATAGTTCACCCTACCAACCTATTATGTAAAAAGGTTATTGCCATATTGAGGGGTGTGTTAATATATGAGTTATTATGTTGCTTTGTTAGTATTACATGAAGTTTTATCTGCGTGATGGCCACACAAAGATGATAACTTCGCATATGCACTGATGATTGTGTTATTTTTATGATGAAAACTACTTTTTATTTCTAAAATCTAACGTAATACTTTTTTTAGTTTGACATTGGCTTTGAAGGTATTTGTATCTTATATGATATGGAGACAATTAAAATGGATAAAGAAATTTCTTTTGGCTCAGATCAGATTGATGATAATATAAATGATCTGAAAGAAAAGTTTAGAAAAGACACTTCGCCTCTCTATCAACAATTATATTCTAAAGTAAATGCTATATCTATTCAAAGCTTAATCTGGAAGGATCCTTTGGCCAGCTGAGTTATTAACGATCAATCAGAAGTTGTCAAGCAGTTATCATCAAATCTAAAAAAGGCATTTAAGGTAGGTAACTTGTTGAAGGTAAATATAATATATTTTTTATATTAGAAACCTGCTTGGCAGATAACGCCTGCTCCTATAATAATAGTTAAAGAAATGTGTGAAAATTTTGTAACAAGTTTTGTCAATTATAACATTCAGAATACAATACTAGATAAACTAATTTAGGATGGATCCTGGAAAGAATCAGAAGAAAAAATTGCAGATGTTATAAAAGAAGTTTAATTCTTCTGAAAGATATTTGGATTAACCCAGCTTTTAATTCTGAACTCACGAAATCGCTAAATGAAGGAACCTATCAATCAACAGTTATTTTATTGTCTATTCGAGTAACATTAAAAAATCTTCCTTTTAGACTATTCTCATTTATCAGTACTTCAGAATGACAAAGTATTGCTAGTGCAGATAGGAAAGGCGAAGGGTAGGTAGGAAGACGACCAGATATTATGTATATAGTAAAATATTTAGATGTTTTCTTTGAGCTTATATATGTCGAATGTTCGCGATTATACTGTAGTTAATAGAAAAGATAGATAATGAGATAAAGCTATGGAGAGAAAGTAACAATAGAATGTTCTGGATTTACAAAGTCCTTAAACTGGAGAAAGATCAATTTAGAAAAGTTGGAGTGTAAGTAGCTAGAAATATGTTGCATCTGAATGTACTTATTAGAGATAAAGCAAATGTTCATAGATATTTTCATTTACAATCAGCTAAAATTCCTATACGATTGTCAGATATAAGCGTTGTAACTAATTTGTGAAAACCCTTTTACTTTTACGAAATATATTAATTACAAATTTGTCCCTACTATATCACACATCTATTTTCATATCAAAAAGACAA